GACCCTTCTTTCTGAAGAAGGGTCTAGGCCCGAAACGTCAGCCTTCCTGCTCCTCTGATGCTGCGTGGCCTGCTGTGTTCATCCAGCTCTACACCCTGTTATCTCAGATTCTCCAGCAAATGCAGTTCCCACTATCTCTGAAACATATCAGAAAGTGTTTCCTTGCATCGTCAGAAATACCAAAATCAATGAAACACATCTTTGAAAAGTACAGCCTGCAAAGCAGACTGAATAAAATCCCCCACTATTTTAATATTGGTGTTAATGCTCTTTAACTGGAAAGGGTTAATACGCCATTTGGACTGAGGACAGGGAAATTTTATACAGAGATCGCAGCAATTCACAGGTTTCTACAGTCTCTTATTGCTGTTAACAGCGCAGCAGTTCAGGAAAAGCAAAGAAAAAAGGGGAAGTAATTTACCTATTTTGTCTTCTACAAAAACAATGGTGAAATATGAGTATAATATGTTCTTTCTCTGATTCTGGAGGTCAAACAAATAAAGTGTGTTTACACTCCACCATAAAATTGAAGCTGGTAGTCCACCATCCTCTCAGCGCTGCACTGGGACTGTCAGAGGTGACAACTTACAGAAGAAATGTTAAACCAAGGCCGTATCTGCTCTGTTTTCTGCAGTGTCCTGATTAATATGTACTCCACAATCAAACGTGCTAAAATGGCTTATTCCTTTTTGCTCCCCTTGTTTTGAAATATCTTTCCTCCTTTACCTGTAAAACGTATACAGTAATGAAACTATACATCGAACCCGAGAACAGTGAAGCTAATGCTTTGGAGACAATATGAACTTCTACTCATCCTGTCAGTTTGAAGATTTTTGAAGTGGTTTATTTTTATTAAGGACACCAGGGAAGATAACAGCATTAGATTAGCCATCACTGAGTTCCGAACCAAATCATAGATGGAAATCAATAAACCACTGCTAATTTTGTTAGTTATATGCCAAGAACAACCACAAAAATATTTGTATGGATATAAAAATGGTAAGAATTAGAAGCAAAAATACTAACAAATCACATGCAGAATTAAGACTGACTCAGAAAAACCTGGCTCTACCTTAAATTCAGGAATACCATGCAACTACCATTAAGTGATAGTGTTTCTCACTTAACGGGGGTAAGTGCACAACAAGGGACCTTTTACAAATGTCAGAAATTATAGCACAGAGGAAACACATCCGACCTTTGCTCTAAAACTGGTGTCTATGTAATCTAATTTCTCTACCCTCTCTTTTTATAGGGCATGCAAACCATATATTTGATTCCTCCTTCTGTAAACTATAATACATGGAGTCAATCACCTCAGTACCAAGTACTTTACATGCAAAATAATGCCAAATCCTGTAATTAGATAGGTTTTGCTAAAATTTTCCATCCCAATCTGAGGCAGCTTTCACTTGCAAACAGCTAAAATTTCTCTTGATCAGTGATTTACAAGAAAAAGATCCAGCTTGAAATGCTTAATGTATGTTTTGGGGCGGTGGGGGTGCAGAGATAGACAGTAAAGAGAAGAAACACTGGTTGTTACTATACTACGTTCCAGACGTTCAATATACATTATACAGTGCTTTGTATCCAATTATCATCTATTTAATACAGACAGGAAGGAAGGGAGAGAAAAGGTGGCCTAAGCGTATCCTGATTTTTTGACCAAACAATGAATCAAGTGAAGTTGCGTCCCAAGTGGATATATGTGTGTGCCACACGAGCCATCTGCCTCGGTGTTTCAGGAATAAGTGAGTTTCAAAGAGGAACTTTAACTCCATTTCTCTCTCCATAGATGCTGTCACAGTTCAGTCACTCCAGCACTGTCTGCTTTCGTTTCAGAATTCCATCATCTACAGTATTTTGCTTTTATAGAAATAAAAAGTCAGTGGATTGAAGTACTGGAGGGATACCAAATCTGTCAAACCTTCCCTATGCACAAATCAACATTCTTCAGGAAAGGAAGGAAAGAGACAGCACGGTGGCTCCGTGGTTAGCACTGCTGCCTCAATGCACCAGGGACCCGGGTTCAATTCCACCCTCAGGTGACAGTGTGGAGTTTACACATTCTCCCCGCGTTTGCGTGGGTTTCCTCTGGGTGCTCCATTTCCTCCCACAGTCCAAAGTGCAGGCTAGGTGGATTGGCCATGCTAAAATTGCCTGCAGTGTTCAGGAATGTGTAGATTAGATGGGTTATAGGGGGATGGGTCTGGGTGGGATGCTCTGAGGACTGGTGTGGACTTGTTTGGTCAAAGGGCCTGTTTTCATAGTGTAGTGAATCTGTGAAAATTTACTGATTGGCCCCTTAAGTTCCACCGCTCAAGGTTCATACTGATGCCTTGATAAGCATTGCCTAAAAATACACCTTACTGAAACTAAGATGTGGAAGTGCTGGTGTTGGACTGGGGTGGACAAAGTCAGAAGTCACTTCACCTGACAAAGGAGCAGCGCTACGAAAGCTTGTGATTTCAAATGAACCTATTGGACTATAACCTGGTGTTGTCCGACTTCTCACTTTATTGAAACTAAGAGGAATCTCTTTTGGCTGTTTGATGAAGATGTGTTTTAACACTTTCCACTCAATGGTGAAGGTTTCTTACCAGGAAGTCTCTAAGGTCTCGATCAGCTGTGTAGCAACAGATGTGGTGCAGTTCTCTCTTCACATCAAAACCCTAAAAGCAAAAAGAAGCATCAGTGCTGTTCTGAAAACATAGTATCCTCCAATTCAGCCCCATTTAAAACTGTTAACTGTACAACTGAAGCAGTTCCATTGTTATTTATTGATTTCCATTACATACCATATTTTTTAAAAGTTCCCTCGCTTCCTGCAGGTCTTTTTTCAAAAGACATTCGTATGTAAGGTTTAAACCAGCTTGCAAGAGTTTGTTCAAATCTTTCATAGATTTCTGTTGGACTGTGAAATAGCCCTGAGCTCGCGGAATCTGATTACTGAGTACAGCATCACGAACGACTTCCTGCAAGAAAAATCCAAATGTAAATAAAATGTATCTGGATGATAGAATACCTGAACACTCAAATACTAGACTCTCCATCAATATTGTCCTACCACACAGATTAAAATAAACAAGTTAGTTACAGAAAAAAAGTATAAGCTTTAGAATCAATCTACACTGCAGTCATTCATTAAAGATTTATATCCCAAGCTACTATAGTTAACATTCACTATTTTGCAACAGAAGTAAAAATTCCACCACTGGGATATAGGCTAAGGAATGAAAATCAGCAGGTGGAAATGAGTTATAACAGGACAGCATTGAAACAATCAACTGAGTCAGCAAAGTGCTGATATGCAGACTAATGTGTAGCTTTTGCTTCTCTATTCATTGAGAATGAAAGGGAAAATGCCCTCACCAAAAGTAATTATATGGTTTTGCCTACTGCCACTTTGATAATATAGTTTAGAGAAAACACTTAATTTTATGGCTTTTTTTTGCTGACATTTCTAAATCCTACCATTCCATCTTCTTTTCCATAAAAGCAACTGGGGGAGTTTTGTTTTTATAAATTTATCTTGAACGTCATGTCAATCCAATGCATGTTTTTTTTCTGTGGCACTCAATTAACATTAATCAACGTCAGATTTTAAAAAGTTCAAGGCTGGCATGTATTTCCCATCACTATTTATAAATAACTGCTTGCTATAATGGGCAGGTAGGCCTTTTTAGACGGTAGTCAGCTGAAGTCAAGATAGGCAATACTGAATAATTTTTGAGAAGATTTGTAGCTCAGGTTGTGGATGAGGTTGTTGATTTGTTTGCTGAGATGGTAGGTTGGGTTACAGACATTTCGTCACCATAATAGGTAACATCATCAGTGCACCTCTAATGCAGGTCTGTCCCGCTTGTTATTTATGTGGTCTGGTTTGATGTGGTGATATTCGAATGAAAGGCCAGCGGTGAGCTCCAGACCAACATATACGGACCAAATACTTAATTACAACAGCAACCACACCAACACCCACAAACAGAGCTGCATCAGAACTTGGCTCAAAAGAGCCATAACACAGTGCAGCACCCCGGAACTGTGCAAAGCCGAAGACGAACACCTCCACAGCGTCTTTAAAAACAACAGCTGCCCAAAAAGCGTAGTCCACCAATACTTATGCAACAGACAACAGCAGGAAGACACAGCATGCCCGGATACACTAGTCACCCTGCCATACATCAAGAACACAGATGACCAGCAGACTATTCCGACCACTAGGAATCATGGTAGCACCAAACCCACAACTACTGACAAGAACAAAAGGATCCCATACCCACAACAGGATCAATGTTATATATAAAATCCCATATAAGGACTGCCATAAACACTACGTCGGACAGACTGGGAGAAAACTAGCTATCAGGGTACATAAGCACCAACTAGCTACCAAGAAACATGAGCAACCGTCACTCATTTTCATACACGCGGACAAAGGCAGCACCAATTTGACTGGGATAACATAACCAGCCTAGGACAAGCCAACCAAAGACACGCACGGGGATTCTTAGAGGCCTGGTCCTCAACTGGAACTCCACCAACAAACATGTGAAAATAGACCCAGTATACCAACCACTACAAAGCAGAACCAGAAACGAGGCCAACTACCACATCAGACTGGGCCACATAAATAACAAGCAGGACAGACCAACAACACTTCATTGGAGGCGCACCGATGATGTTACTAGTACGGTGTCGAAACATCAGCAAACCAACCTACCAGCTCAACGACCAAATCAACAACCTCAATACTGAATAAAAATCTCAAGTCACCCTTCCAAAAGGACATTGCTGAACCAGTCGGGTTTTTAAGACAACCCAGAAGTTTCAGAGCCATTATGCACCAACGACAATGGATGACTAATCCAGAACCCCAGGTTAATGCTCAGGGGAGATGGGTTCAAATCCCACCATGACAAATGGTGAAAACTGAATTCAATAAAAAAAAAATCTAGAATTAAACGATAGCCTAATGGTAACCATGTAACCGCTGTTGACCATTGTAAAGACCCATCGGAGTCAGTAATGTTCCTTAGGGATGGAAATCTGCCCTCCTTACCTGGTCTGGCTTACATGTGACTCCAGACCCACAGTGATGTGGTGGATCTTAACTGCCCTCTGAAATGGCCCTTGCAAGCAATTAGGGATGGGCAATAAATGTTGGTTCAGGCAGTGATGTCACATGTCACGAACAAGTTTAAAAAAAATGCCAGCTTTTTATTGCAAGATTTCTTCCTTTGAAAAAAACTCATTCTTAAATTGGCCATGAAGAGTTTATATACATTAGTTATATTCCCACAGCATTCGTTAGAGAGACAACTAGTAGGGGTTTAAACTGAGGGACAACACAGCTCAGATGAGGGGAGAGGTTGAGAGGGAAAATTTTTCATGGTAACCTCAGCCACTACGGGAATTGAATCCATGTTGTTGGCATCACTTCCTATCGCAAACCAGCTGTCCAACCTTCTCTGGATTATTAGTTCAACTATTACCACTCCCACTTATTACAACTGAACACTTTATGGCTATTATTTCAAACTAAGCTGCACTGGCCCTGCATTGACAAATTAATTCCAATGAAGGGAAGTATAAAGGTAGTGTAGTTTGGTCAGAAAAATAAGACCCTCCACTCACTGGAAAGTGATGTGATAAATGGGGTACAGGAGCTCTGGGATTGACAGTTATTAAGACATAAAGTAGCCAACACATATTAGACCATAAGAATATAGAAATAGGAGCAGGAGAAATGCATTAGGTCTGTCAAACCTACTTCGCCGTTCTATATGTTTATCACAGACAACACTTTATGATGATGCAGAAGACTACATTAACAGAAAAGGATTCCATTCCAAAGTGCAAGTCATCTGTGATCATCAGTACATGTTAGAAATCTGTGACAGGTACTGTGGTAGCTGTCATGACGCCTATATCCTTCTGAACTCTCGTGTTCCTGGTTCTTTTCAAGGGCCGGATGCCTTACAAGGATGGTGACTGGAAGAAAGGGCTACTCTCTGCCACAAGGTTAATGACTCTGTTATGCAATCTCATGACTGAGACCAAATATAAATATGATACAGCCTAGGACCACAGTGGAGCTAAAGTTAAGGTTCCAATACTTGCATCAGTTTAAGGGGTGGGATCTCACAATGCACTCCAGACAGAGTGCCACATAACCCTTGCATGCTGTGTTCTGCACAACTGGCGCATGCAAAGACAAAAATATGTTGGACTCTGAAGAGCTGGGAGAGAAGCAGCAAACATCTGAGGAGAACAGGGACACGGAACAGGAGGAACATCACCTTCCACATGATAGGGCACTGCAGCGTGAAGCACAACAAGCCAGACAGGAATTAATTGATATCTGGTTCTGGTATATGTGAGCGGAGTACAATGATCATTTATTAACTGTAAATGTGTTGATGCCCAAAGGCAAGCAGTCCCTGTCTGCTCCAAGAGTCAAATGCATCTTCTGTCAGTTTGTTTTTTACTCACTTTGCTGTTGCTGAATAAAAGTGAATGCTTGAATCGCTTGAAGGCTTTCCTGTATACAATCGTCCCACTTTAGATCACAGAACTGTGCAGCACAGGAACAGGCCCTTTGGCCCACAATGTTGTGCTGAACGTGACGTCAAATTAAACCAATCCCTTCTGCCTGCCCTTGGTCCATATCCCTCCATTCCTTGCATATTCAAGTGCTTATCTAAAAGTCCCTTAAATGCCCCTATCATATTTGCTTCCATCACCACCCCTGGCAGCGCATACCAGACTTCTAAAAATCTGTTAAAAATTTGCTCCTCACATCTCCTTTGAACTATACCCCTCTCACCTTAAATGCATGCCCCCTAATATTACGCATTTCAACTTTGGGAAAAAGATTCTGACCATCAACCCTACCTATGCGTCTCATCATTTTATAGACTTCTATCAAGTCTCCCCTCAGCCTCCACAGCTCCAGAGAAAACAACCCAAGTTTTTCTCACCTCTCATTATAGCTCATACCCTCTAATCCAGGCAGCATCCTGATAAACCTCTTCTGCACCCTCTCCAAAACTACTACTTGTAATGTGGCGACGAGAATTGAATGCAGTTCTCCAAGTGTGGCCCAACCAAAGTCTTCTAAAGCTGCAACATGACATTCTGACTCTTAAACTCAATTCCCCAAACAAAGGCAAGCATGCCATATGCCTTCTTTACTACTCTATCTACTTGCGTAGCCACTTTCAGGGAGCTGCGGACTTGAAAGCCAAGATCCCATTTTGAATAATAAGATGTTGTGTTACACTGGACATTGGGGAAATAGCAGCATTCACTTAGATAGAATTCTAAGATGGAATAAGGCAAAGGATGGATAAGCTTCGCTGTGTGGCTCTTAAATAGTAACAGACGCAAAAATGTGCATTTCCACTTGCAATGAGGAGTCACCATGCCACCTGCATGCCACCAGAAGTGGTTGTTTTTGGTTATCCTCCCACTAGATTGATGGTGAAATGCAACTCTGGACTGGCTGCACTTGACCAGGTGCAAGACTGGGTTTTAAAGATGGTGGTGATGCCAGGGACCCTGGAAGATCCTGGCAGTGATGAGTACTCATGCCTACGGTATGCGGGCAAATAGAACAAGTGGGGCATGGCACATAGATAATGAGACAAGGTTGGGAAGATAGCACAAGAACACTTGTAAGGCCTCAAGAGAGGAACCCTCCATGAAACTTGCTAAAATTGACAATTAGCCAATTTCTGGTAAAATTCAGCTCGGTTTCTCAGCATATGCCTTGTCAGCCCCTTCATAATCTCAGATGTTTCTAGTAGATCACCTCTGATTCTGCTAAACTCCAGAGAATACTGACCCAATTTGCTCTGCTTCTCATTATAGGAGAACCTTCTCACCGCAACAATCAATCTAGTGTGCTTTTACTGTACTGATGCCAATTCAAATAGAAGCTTCCTCAAATGCAGTGAACAAAACTGCACATATTCTAGATGTGTCTCTGCAAAGCCCCACAGAATTGTAGCAAGACTTCTTTATTGCCCTACTCCAATCCACTTGCAATAAAAGGTCAAAGTGTAATTTGCATTCTAGTTTCTTGCCATACCTGTATGCTAACTTTTTGTTTTCCTTGGAAATCCTTCTACAGCCACCTGGTTTCTCTTTATATAGCCTGTGGCCCTAAAATTTCCAAATTAGTCAAATTATCATTTCCTTTTCAGAAAATCATGGTGACTTTTTCTGATCATTCTATGCTTTTCTAAGTACATTGTTCACAATAATAATACGAGATTGGACAGGAAAGACCAAACAGGCTGAGGATTTTTTCCTCTGGAAAATGGGAAGGCTAAGGAGTGACCTGATAGACATCTGTCTGTTTATTGAGAAGTTCAAAATGTTAGACATAAAGAAGAGGTTCCATTTGAAGTGGAATCAAATCCAGGAGCCATAAATAAGACAGTTACTAATAAATCTAATGAAGAACTCAGGGAAAACTTCTTTAAAAGAATCACATAAATATTACAGTGCAGAGGTCGTCATTCGGCCATTATATTTGTACTGGCTCTCCAAATGAGCTTCATGAATTGGTGTCGTTCTCCTGCCTTTTTCCCGTAGCCTTGAACATTATTTAAATGAAAAACAATCACCTAATGCTCTTCAGAACGCCTCAATTGAACCTGCCTCCACCACACTTTCAGGCAATGCATTCCAGATCACTTTAAATCCGTGCCTTCTCATTCTTGATTCTCTTATGAGTGGGAACAGTTTCTCCTTATCTCCTCTATCCAGACCCCTCAATTTTGAAAACGTCTATCAGATCTCCTCTTAGCCTTCTTCTCTCCAAGAGAAACAATCCCCATCTTGCTCTAATCCACCCTCAAACTGAAGTTTCTCATCCCTGGAACCATTCTTGTAAATATACCCTGTGGTTTGCAAGATTGTGGAAATCACTACTACAAGGTATAACTGAGGTTAATAGCATAGATGCTTAAGGGCATGCTGGATAAATATGTAAGGGAGAACGGAATAGGAAGCTTATTTTGATAGGTTATATGACAGTTGTAGTGGCATGGTTCTATGTTGTAGAGTTGATACAATTAATTTCACGATAAATCACAAGTTAAATAATTATTAATTCAAGTACTTACATTAGTATTTAGATTGTTCCACTTTCTGTAAGCTTGATTACCATCTGGTAATGCATTTTCTTCATCCAGGCAGTCACTAGTTACAGTTTCATTTGGAGGTGTTCGAGGATATTTCTTCATAAATTTACGGAGCTTGATAATATAACTGGTCAAATGGTCCACACATTTTTGCTTGTACTTGTCCAACTCTGAAAATATACAACATTATTTTGGCAACAGAATTCAAACTCACTCCACCATAGAGAAGAATCCCCCTCAAACCTGCAGTGTGTTAAGATGACCCAACACCACCTTCTCACTGCCATTAGGGATGGGCAATAAATATAACATTACAACATTAAAAAGGGAGCATTCTCCGGCTGTGGATAAAGAAAATATAAATTCCAGTGGTAGGAAAGAAATATTTATCAAACAACATAAAATTGATATTCTATTTTTAAACTGTAAATGCTAAATTAAGTTATGTATTGTGTGAAATATCTTCAATTATTTCACCAATTGCATAAGGGATTAATATTCCATGCCAGATAATGAATGCAAGTCAGACTACACTTTGGAAATAATTATTATTTCAAGGGATGTATGCGTGCCTAGAAAGGCCAGCATTTGCTGCCCGTCCCTAACTGCCCTTGAACCGAGTGGTCTGAAACTTTAGTGGACCAAGAGTTAACTAATCACTGAGTCAGAAGTCACTTAGGGCCAACTGGTTAAGGACAGAAAACTTTGTTCCTAAGAAAGGACATTTTGTGAACCAGATGGGTCTTCACAACAGTAACCATTACGGAGATTAGCTTTATATTGCAGCTTTATTAATAGAAGAGTACTAGGCCAGTAACATAACAGACCCGTAAAGGTGAAATCAGGCCATTCAGCCCACTGTGTCTGCACCAACTGCATTTTTTTTTATTTTAACCGATTTTTCTCAATCCAGGGATAGGAACACTACCACTGCGCCACAAGAGGATCCCAAATTAGAACCTCACGACGGCTGTGCATCAAACCCAGCTTAATGGTTTGGAACAGAGATAGTAGGAACTGCAGATGCTAGAGAATCCGAGACAACAAGGTGCAGAGCTGGATGAACACAGCAGGCCAAGCAGCA